ACATAAAGATACCAAAGCTATGTATCTGACCCTAGACAGAGTGCTGGATATATAGGTTTCCCTCTGCGAAGGGAAAATATTATGTAAAACATTGATGTTCACTAAGTTTATAAAAACTACATAAGTAATAATTAATTTTTGCCAAGCAGAGAGGACACAGCAAGGTGCTCTCATCTTCTCTGTGGCATAGGAAAAGGAACAGAAATGGCTCAGGGAGGTTCTTATGTTCAATATGGATGTCATTAGTGCGTGCACATGACATGGCTTTGATAAAGGCCTTATGAGCTGAAGCATCAGACTCCTTCCAAGATGATAAACGAATGTTCCTACGTAATAGTTTCATAGATGTTAGGGTCGGAAGGGACCTATTAGATCAGTGAGTCTGACGCCCTGCCCCGGGCAGGAATGAGTGCTGGGGTCAGATGACCCCAGCCAGGTGTCTGTCCAATCTCCTTTTAAACACCTCCAAGGAAGCGGGCAGCACCACCTCCCTTGGAAGCTTATTCCATATTTTGGCAATCCTCCTGTAAAGAACTTTTTCCTGATGTCCAATATGAATTTGCTCTCTTCCAGTTTGTAGCTATTATTTCTAGTTACCTTGACAGGCCCCTGGTAAACACTGTATCCCCTATTTCTTGCTGCCCCCTCCCTGCAATGAGTTTGTAAGTGGTCACCTCTCAGCCTCCTCTTGTGGAGGCTGAAGAGGTTCAGGTCTCCCAATCAGTTCACATAGGGTTTTTTTCTGTAGTCCCTTAACCAGACGTGTGGCCCTCCTCTGAACCCTCTCCAGGCCATCCACATCCCTCCTGAAGTGCGGTGTCCAAAACTGGATGCAGTACTCCAGCTGTGGCCTAACCAATGCTGCATAGAGAGGAAGTATTTACCCTTTCTCTTAACACAATCAAAATGGCATGCAATTAAATGGAAACATTTTCTTTAATATTATTTAAAATAACGGAGGAAATGTGGTATCTAACTTGGGAACTTAGTACAGTACAGTCGTGTCATACGCACATTTAACTTGTGCAAATTCAACTATACGCAGGGTGGGAGGGGGGGCGGGGCTTCAGTTTGCAGCGGCGACGGGAGGTTTTGGCAGCGTGGTGGTGGCCCAGCGACATGCAGCTATCCCCTCCACCACCCCGTGCTGCGCCGCTGCTGCCAGCCGCACAGCTCCAAGCATGGCTCCATGGCGGCAGCGGGAGGTTTTGGAGGTAGAGGCAGTCACTGCTAGTCAAATCACTGGTGATTTGACTATACGTGATTTTTGTCTTACGCGCTGACCTCAGAACCTAACCCCTGCGTAAGATGTGACATGCCTGTGCTGTGTAAGTCACCACTAAGGTCAATAGCCTTAATGAGGTTTCAAAAAGGATTAGGATAGACTTAGATCAGTGGCACTCAACCCTTTTCCCCGGTGGGCTGGATGGGCACTGCCCAGTCCATCTGCAGGGCTGATGTGGCTGGTGGTCCCAATCAGGAGCCTTGGGCAGGCATGGTGGGGAAGGGGGCTTGGTCTGGCCAAACTGGCCCTGTGGGGTGAATAGGGGGAAGGGACATGGCCACTTCTCCCCAGCCATCAGATTTCCTGATCCGTAGGAAGAGCTGTAGGCTGGAGGTTGAGCACCCATGACTTAAGACAATGAGTGCGCCCAAAGTTTCACCAGAAGGAATACAAAACAAAAACAAGACACCTGAAATTAAAAGGGAACAGACCCCAACTTCTGACTGATTGGCTTAGGAAGCAATTCCCACTATGATAAAGTAAGCTTCCTATCGTCCTATCTCCAGTAGTACTCACCCTTCTAATGCTGTGCTGAAGCCACCAGTGTGCAAGTGCACATGCATGTGCGCACACAAACGCACACACTGGTGGCTTCAACACAGCGTTAGACAAGTGAGTACTACTGGAGACAGGAACACAGGAAGTTTTTGAATGAGAAACAACAACAAATAAGAAAAGTGCAACTTAAATTTTCAAGAGATGCAGGTTCAGGGGATCTGGGGGAGACTAACAAGGGAATGATTTTGTCATTTCCCCTCTTTTCATTCCTATTTAAGTCTAAAATTCCTTTATCGCTATTAAAAAACACCTCTTAAAGTAAACCAATTTAAAAAGCACACATATGCAAGATCTTTATATATTCTAATAGCTGATCAGATCTTCCCATCTGTTACTTTAGGATTTTAAGAAAAAAGCATAAAAAGAAGAAAATAAGTAATTCAGTACTTATATACATGCATACTGGTGGCTTCAGCACAGATTCTTATATTATAAAAGCCTAGGTCTTTCTTTCTGTCTGTCCATAACGCTTTATTAGCACTCTGATTGGCTGATGGAAACAGCCAATCAGAGTGCTGCAAGCGTGGGGGTGCGCCGCCATGATTCCAAACCTGAGCCGAGGCCAGCCCAGCGCTGCATTGCATGCATTTGTACAAACGGCTAAATGTGTGTCAGTGCTGAGAAAATGATGGTGCGCTTTTGAACTAAAACACCTTCAGTTTCGTTTTATTTCAAAATCTTGCCACCACCATTTTCTCAGCGCACATTTCACTGTTTATACAAATGTATACACCACAGCACCAGGGTGCTTTTAAAAGTGCTCGGCGCTGTGGCACAACTATGTGTACAAATGCCCTATCGTTCTTTCTTCTCTTCACAGCGTGGCAGTATCGTCTTGAGAGATGAATCAAAGTCCAACACAGCATATAAACAAACACCTGTGATCTGACACTACAGATGTTCAGAGGACAACATCATTAGGAAACTTTCTTACAAAGCATTCTTTGAAGTGATCCTAGAAGACCAGTCTCTCTCCCATAAACATAGAAAAAGCAGTCTGGGGATAGACTGCTGATAGGAACACTGGAGGAACATAGTGGAGGAAGAACACATCAAAACACTCTAATATAATGAAAGCCTTAGTCTGTCCGTCCGTCCGTAATGTTTTATTCACACTCTGATTATTGTCTCTGCAGATGGAGCGGTGGCACCATGAGGCGTTGGGTGGCAGCACTTTGTTCCCCCCCCTCGTGCGTCATTCATGATGGGCAATTTGCTAGTTTAAATATATAAATCAACATGCAGTTCTAGATCACTGCATCCTAATTCAACTACTTAAATGAACTGGTGAAGAAAAAAAGAGTACAAACAAATTCTTTCCAATCATAGGTGATGCACTGAACCAGAGAAGGACACATGCATCTCTTCTAGTTTCTTGTCCTCTGGTATGCAGTACTTACCCTGTCATGTAGTGTCCAACCAACGTATTTTAAGTAACTATCATTCAGAAAGGCATCACTGTACATTTTCATCCATACTCCAATTTCCTCAATGCAAACAGCTCTAATCTCAGCAATAGCATCCCTAGAGAGGTAGAAAAACAGCATTAGGAAGGTCAGAGTCAAATACAATTTTCCTTTCATGCCCAATGGTCTAGCACTAATATTTTGCTTTTTTATTAAACAAAACCACACTATCTATGTTTGCTTCAAACACATTGACTTAACTTCAAACTCATCTCCTGTGTTAAAAAAATGTTGACTTCTCCATATTACTCTAGCCTTTCTAGCTCTATTCCACTTTTTAATCTAGCACTCTCCCCACCCACCTTTCTCTTTCACTCTCCAAAGCCCCACAAATAAGATATCGGTCTAAAAGTCTTAACCTCATCTCATCCTTTGGTTCTCAAAATATGGCATGTAAAGATCTGTCTAGTGGCTTTTTTCTCTTTCTATGTCCATAGATTTCTATAATCATTCAAGTTCTTATTGAAAACAACGAGAACAAATTCGGGCTAGCTCAGGGACCAGCAGCAGCCTGTGGCCCACGGGCCAGATCTGGCCCACTGAGCCACTGGTCCAGACTGCGGAGCTGGGGGGCTTCTCCTATGCCACAGATGGGAGAAGTGGCAGCAGAGGCTGGGTCTTAGTGCCAACCTGTCTCAGACCCAGGCAGTGTCACTCCAGCCCATCACTAATAAAGCCTGCCAATGACCAATCCAGCTGCTTTTACTAGGGAGTGCTGTTCAGATCTCCATCAGAGAAGCTTTAGAACCAATTTCTTCATTTTTTCTTCTCTTTTTCTGCATTCCCAAATATGACAAATGATAAAAAGGCCAAAGGAATATCTCAGCCACAGGAACCTTCTGCTTCTTGAAATGGGACAGTAGGAAATTATCTGGAGAATATGTCTGAATAGAGCAGATGTGGAACTAGTTTCAGTCTAACTGGATTTTTTCTCCTTTGCCTGATTGACAGAGGGATGAGGCCCACACCTAGCCCTTTGTAACCTCTTGGGAGATATGTTGTGAGAAAGTCCTTGTGCCACTCAACTTCTACTTTTCTTTCTTTTTTAAGAAGTCTAAAGTTCAGCAGTTTTGTAAGCAGTAAATTCCAAGGTAAGAAGTGCATATTCACTTGTAGAAGACACTGAGATCAAACTGAAAGCCTAACTGTATTAATTTAATTCTATAAAATGTAGACAGATGTTTCCTTCCTAAGCTCTGGGTGCTTACCATGAGCTAAAACACATAAAATAATAGGACTACTTATACATATAACCACTCCAGTCTACAGCCACTCTCTCCTCAGTAGCTACAATTCCATTCTGCAAGATTTTGTAGATATGAGCAAATGATTTTACATGGCTGTGGCTTATAATCCCAAGAAGTCCGAACATCACAACTGGCTAGACTGGACACGCATTTTCTAAACACCTAGCTCTCCAGTTGTCTCCTTCTCACTTCATCATAGGTTACCTATCAGCATGAAGCAAGCACTTAGTGGCTACTGTATCAACAGTATTAAAGGAAAAATACTATTATAAATCCTAATAAGTCATCCACAGATCTGTGTCAAGACTCTTTGGAAACTAACTGTTTCTATCAATCTCTGAGGTGAAACCATAATAATAGATTTGAAATCCTGTTGTGATTGGCATAGCCTAACCAGCGCCGACAGTGATCAGTTCATGTTATAGGTCCAGAGTGGCAAACTCACCTGGGGCCCTGGGCTAGATCCAGACTGAGGGATCCTCATAGGCTGGATCTGGCCTGGGGGAAGGGGTAGCAGCCATGATCTTGGTGGTGGTGGCAGGCGCAGGCACTGTGGTCGGGCCGGGGGGAGGGGGTAGCAGCCATGATCATGGTGGTGGTGGCAGCAGCAGTCACTGTGGCAGTCGCTACCGCAGTGCCAGTGAGTCAAGTGTCTGCAGGCCAGGCAGCCCCTCATTATGGTGGAGGTTTACAAGCAGTGGTGGGTCAAGTGGCCTAAGGGTGATCGAGGGCTGTGTTGTACAGCCCTCACCTCACCTCTCTGCTGCCAAAACCATGTCCACCAAAGCCACAGGGCCCTGGATTCTATGGCATGCCATGGCCAATGCTGGCCACACCCCCAACTTTCAGTAGCCTGTTATTAGCCTGGCAGGCCAGATGGAGCAGTTGTGTGTGCTAGATCTAGCACATAGGCTGGTATGCTAGATACCCCTGATACAGGTGATACTGCTTCTAAGCAGAGTAAGACAATAAATCATCTGTCCCTAATAAACATCTCTCATTCTGTTTTCAGTATAAGGATGAATGCTCCATACCTATTAATACCTATGAGATTGGTTGTGCTGTGGAAAAAGGGTCTGCTATCCGTCACTGGGAATGTAGCCATGGTTAAAAAAGATTTTTTAAAAAATCAAAATTGCTATATTTCATATATCCAATGTGCTCAATACTGCATAACTCATATGCTGATAGTCAAGTTATTGGGAGCTGGTTTAAAATGTTTTAAAAATAAATAAAAAGAAGAATATAAAGTAAATAATGAGGCATGAAGATCAAAAGACGTATCTATGCAAGATTATAATGTAACAATCAGCCAGCAGAGATTTCTTTCCGGGGGATGGCAGCAGCTTCACACAGCTGCAAGTCCTTAGTTACAGGACTTGTCTGCCTACAACTTCACGATCTAAACCTACAGATTGTTTTGGGAAGGATTTAATGACTACTCTTTAAAGATATCCAGGACTGCAGAATAGCTGTCCAAAACTCAGGACCGTCTCAGCTTCCTTAAGGAGATGGCACACATGCTACCCAAAACACAAAAAGATCCTTCTTGCTTCAGAAGCTAATATGTCAGAGTGTCTCATCAATCTTCAAGAACTCAATCAATATTCATCCTAATTAACAGTCATCCTAAGAAAAATTAATGTTAATGTAATGAAAAAACAGCACCAGTTAAGAAAATGTACCAACTTTATCCAGCTGCAAGAGGTGTTCTCTGAAACTGGATAAGACAGCTCTTCAGAGACATCCCAATTTTCAGTCACAGCTGCCTATGAAGAACTGTTTGATGACATAAATCTTACAGAGACCATACTAAATCCAGGAACGCATGACCTGCAAAGGAGCATGCCAAACAATTCCTTTACATACAACATTCAAGGAGGGTAATGAAGAGGGGACAGATAACTCTTTCTGGCTCAATGCTCTCCTTGTATAACATCCATTTCTGCCACTGACACAGACAGGATGCTGGGCTAGATGGACTATGGCACTTACGTTCTTGAACTTAAGAACTTTCCTGTTCCTGAAACCATTAACAGTACCTTAGACCTCTATTCACTCTTCTATCTGTTCTCTGAAGAAGAAAGCCTAAAGAGAATGCAAAATCTTTGCAAGTGATATTACTGAGTATCCACTTAGGACAGTTCAACCAAATTCTTTGCTTCACTGAATCTTGTAACAGCAGAGAAAGAACACGCACAAATGAAGACTGGCAGCTGGATCTTTCACAAAGAACAAATTGTTTTTAATTCCCAGTACACTGCTATGAAATACTCTGGAGATCCTAAGAAATGGATTTGGAGCTCCCAATGTGATGATGCCACCAAAAAGCTAATAAGATGGTTGGGTGTATAAATAAACAGCAGAAGACTTAAGAGGCGCAATCTAATTAGTTTAGCAAAGACAAGAATAAGAAACTATTTGATTATTTTCTATAGTCATTGACATAGTGAATACATCTGGCAAAAAGGGGGCTTCCGGCTATATAAACATAAGTATAGCACAATTCAAATACTAGACATCAAAACTACAAGAATTCAAATGTTTAATAGTAGTGTCAGTTATCTAGTGGAACAGGTTATCAGGAAAGTGGAAAATCAGACATCACTTAAGAGTCTTTAGATACACACTGGGTCTTTCTAAAAGACCTTCATTAAGTCAAAAACAAGTTACTGGGTTAACATGGTTCACCGTACCAAAAAAAAAAAATTAATCTTCCTCAGCAGCAGAAGTCATGGGGTGAAATACTAGGCTTTGCATTATGCAGAAAGGCCAATGAGATAATAAAAAGCAATCTTTTCATCTTGACTTAAATGTGAGAACCTATGACATACAACTGATTGGTCACTTTGCTGTATTGAATTTACTTTGATTGCCAGGCCAACAGCACAGGGATTAAGTAAACACTACATTGGGGAGCTACCAGCAACAAATACTAATACTACTGCTACCACTAATACGACTAACAATCAAACACACTTTTGGAACATTACAGGTGGTACCCTTCATCATGATCATAAATGTGCAAGATAAGCTGCTACTCTCAATCATGTAATGATAGGAAAGGGGTAAAGCCTGGTTAAACACATGGGCTAAAATGAAAGATGTATACTAGCCAAAAATGTCATTTTCTGCATAATGCATATGTCACTGTAAAGAAATTTTACCATGTGAATGAGAATGATTGCCACAATCTTGGCAATTTATATTTATTCAGGTTGTAATTTCTGGGAATTTCCCATCACTGGGAAAGACAAAATCCTGAGATATATAAAAGGACAATGTCAACTTAAATTCAATGCCCTAAGAATTAATTATCAAAATGAGACTCTCAACATCTCCATCATTATTATTATTTGATAGGCAGTATGTTATTTCATTCCTATATTGTGAAGCAGTTGATTATGTCATGCCTGTTCAGCCTCTCTCTACTCTGTCCATTTATGTGCAGCAAAATATATTCGGCAAAAAGGTCTTACAACAGCCAGAGTCACAACACGAATGAAGCTGAAGAGAGAAGTATAAAGCAGAGTAGGGGGATTGCTCTCTCTTACTTCTCCTTGGCTGGGCAATGAGACAATGGCAAATTAGCCCTCAATGTCCTTTTCCCAATCTGCACAGTTTTTTAGTTTTCCTCTGATAGATTCTTTGGCAGGTAAACATACCAGGCCAGTATTCTGAAGACCTTTGTAATCATCAGTCTGGGAGTATGCACTTTCATGTGGAACACTGTCTCTGGTAGCACTCCTTGGAAGCACACTAGTCCTGGCCTGCTCCACCTGCACAGCTTCCCCAGGAGGACAAGAGGAGC